ACTTGTTTGATTTGTACATTAAAATGCCTCGGGTCGTGTATATAATATATATTTATGATGTTCTTGTTATGGAAAGACAATGAATTGTTTTAAATTCTGTTACATTTGCTGTTTTACCAACACCTGAAAATACTAAAATTGTATGATGTGTATTGACCTAACTGGTATTTTTGGCCATGTTTAAGGCACAGCAGTTTAGATAGAAAGGTGAATGCACAAAATAAATAACAGAAAAGCTCTGGGCCCCTAAGGTATTTGGTGTTGAAGTCAAACATTTGGGTGGATATTGCATTGAAAATTTCTACACTAAACACAGTATTTGATTGTTAAATAATATCATTGTATAAATAGAACTAAGATTCCTTTCTTTAAATGGCTGTTTTTTAAGTGAGTGACATAAAATGTTTTTCATGAGTTTTTCTCCCTGAGAAGGGGTGATACACACATCTAATAATACCCTTATTTTAGCTCATCCTCTTTGTTCTTGACAATTTGTGGTTCTGTGCCTAGACTTGCCATTAAATCATTATTAAGAGGACATTTCAAATCTTTGCTGCTGTTTTTCCATCACAAAAGCCATGTAGGAAACAAAACATGCCAACACAACAAAAGCTTGATGAGTGTTTCTCAAAATTTTTCCAGAGATCTCTTTTCTTGTTCACTCAATAAGTAAAATGCCAAATTGTCAATGAAATCCAGACCTGGCTGTTATTCTTAATATTTATCCTTAAATTTCTCAACCTTTGAGCCTCAACATTTTCTGTTTCCTAATCAACTTAATATAAGGAAAAATACATCTTTAAGTGGAAAACTTCGATTCTGAGACTATAGTAAAATTTGACTGATTTTTTTTGGCGTGGTCATATAGGCGTGGTCGAAACTTTGCGAATGTCAGATTTTTTTCTGCATCCGCCCCTGAATCCACTTATTACGAACTCTAACTATTACGAACTAAAACCTCAATGGAGTGACGAGAAACCCATCATATGGGCCACGAAGAAACTTCAAAGGAACGACAAAAGACCCACCTAGGAAATGTCAGAACACTTCGAAGGTAATGACGAGAGACCGACCGAAGAACCGCGAAAAAACCTCGAGAGAATGACAGGAGACCAACCCAGTAACTACGGGGAAACTTGACGGAAATGATGGGAGACCCACCCGGGAACTGCAATGCAACAATAAAACATAAACGACATATTAAAGCAATGCAAGGAAAGGCAATTTTACAACTAATTTATCAACTTTAACTATGAAAATGATAAACACTACAAGAACACATCTGACGTCAACTTGAATTTGAGAAGATTTCTCAGGCGTAGCAGAGGCTTAACGCTTAGGGGGGCGGGGGCTTAGCGTGGGTTTTGCCCGAATATTATTGCTTCGTTGAGATAAGTTGCTCGAATGTGCCTATAATTCAATCAATTTTGTCTGACTAGGGGAAGGCTGCAGCCCCTATATCTCCTAGGCCTATGGTCTTCTTAAATGTGAAATATTTAACACTTCATCAAGAAGTACAATTGAGTAACTGTTTCCACAAAGCACGAATTAAATTTTTCCAAAACCAAATTGATAACCATGGCTTTCGAATATTGAAAAACATGACACAGAGCATTTATGGCTGAAGAAGCCATTTCCAAAACTTTAGGGTGAATTTTCTTCAGAAATACAATCTATCATAACTTTATCCTTATTTGTTTCAATTAAAAAAGGCTAAAGTAGACGAATAACATATCGTTCAACAAAAGTCATACCTCTTCTGCTTTTTTAAGTTCGAATTCTTCCAGTTGCCTTTGGAAGGCATAATTTGGATTGGCAATGCTTCTGCAAACCCGGATAGCTTCTATTGCCTCCCGCCATCCACATTTCGACACAACAATCAAATAGGCAGCGGTGATGGTTGTCGATCGAGAAACTCCAGCAATACTGCGTTGGGGGACAAATGCGAGCAGCAGTGAAAATTTGGGAATAAAGACAATGAAAACCAATTTATTGTCGTTTAGCAAAGCCAAAAAGATTGAGTAGTTACAGCCCGATCTTCA